TTATAGTTGTAGATAGATACCTTTGTTTTATTTATTTATTTTGATGAGGTGGTAAGATTCAAACCCAGAGCCTCACACATGCTAGGCAAGCACTCTACCACTAAGCCCCAGCCCCAGCCCAGCGAATACATTTTTCAAAAGTTATTCTAGGGGCTGGGGATGTGGCTCAAGCGGTAGCACGCTTGCCTGGCATGCGTGGGGCACTGGATTCGATCCTTAGCACCACATAAAAATAAAATAAAGATGTGTGTCCACCGAAAACTGAAAAATAAATTTTAAAAAAGTTATTCTAAGCACTAAAATAATTTCATGCTATATTATAGATCATAAGTGGACATTACCTTTTTGCAAATATACACCCAGTATAGACTCTGTCCTTCAGTTTCCTCATATATAAAATGGAAATAATTGTACCTTCCTCATAGGTTGTGATATTTCCATTGGGTCATGCACATAAAGCACTTAGCACTGTGCCTGGTACACACTGAATGCTTAATAACGAGCCAGTTGCTTTCTTATTTATCATCATCATCATCATTCATCCCGATTATAGAGCTTCAGAAAATAAAATTTGTTAAGTCCTGCTTTACATACTGAAGTTTTAACAAAGTTCTTCCTCTGTAAGTTTGCTTCACTTTCAGACCAAGCACCATTCAGGCTGTGTGTGCTCTTTAACAACGGAACAGGCTCCCTCATGAGGAATGAGCTGCACTGCGGTTTCTCTGAGGCTAGAAAGCAATTTGCCACAAGCACTACAGAACTGATTTTCTGCTGGAGAGAGGTGAGAGAAACCTCTCAAAGATCCACATCTAATAAACAATTACATGAATCATTCTTCAGATCCTTTGAAGCTCCAAAATTCTACATCATATACCAAGTTATCATGTGTGGTATTAAACAGTGGCCTTGCCAGGAACCTACTGTTAGGCCCTGAACTAAGGTAGAAACTCAGACTTTCACTGAAAAACAGAAATCTTTAATTTCTTCCTTTGTTCTGAATAGTGACTTTCCACAGCAGTAAACCCAAGAGTGGTGACTCAAGCCTCTCGGCAATTCTAGAAAGGAAATTGTGAAATTATCAGTTTGCCAAGAAAGTACTTCCAGTTTGCCAAAAGAGGGAGCATGGGAGCAGAAAGTATGTGGTTGTCCAAGACTCTAAAAAATGCTTCCTTGATCCTTATTTTGACTTCTTTTGCAAGGTTGTAGGACTAAACCATAATTACAGTCAACTTTCTCTTTTAAGACGTCTTAGGACAGGATAGTCAAAGATCAAAAACACATAGATAACTTTTAATGATCCCTCCCCAATCTCTCCAGACAAAATACTCGCCTCATGCTAGGCTGCCACACACGAAACAGCTCTAATTAATTGTTGTCATTGAAAGGAAGAGAAGGAGGGCTGGGGTTATGGCTCAGTGGTAGAGTACTTGCCTAGCACGTGTGAAGCACTGGGTTGGATTCTCAGTACCACATAAAAATAAATAAACAAAATAAAGGTATTGTGTCCATCTACAACTTAAAAAAAAATAAAAAAAGGAAGGGAAGGAAGAGCTAAGCTAGTCTGAGTGGAGAAAAAATTATATGTACATGTATATATTAAATATGTATTTTTAGTTGCCAATGGACCTTTTTTATTAATATGTGGTACTGAGAATCGAACCCAGGACCTCTCACATGCTAGGCAAGCACTCGACCACTGGGCTACAATCCCAGCCCACAATTACATATTTAATAAAGACATACTTTATTCTTCTGCTGCCATGGATTATCTAAAAAAGAAGGAGCTGTATATACAATCTAAATCTCACCACCCTACAACAATGGGAGAGACTACTGATACAATGAAGATTAAGGTCATTTAATCATCAGGGTGCCATCTTACCCACTTCCTAGGGCTAGACTCCTTCAGGCCAAGCAAGAGGAATGATGTAAGCATCTAGAACTCTTTGCAGAAACAAGTCTTTTTATTCACATTCGTCAGTTACTAACATTGAGTGAATGTTTATATAAGACAAAGTTTCTGCAAGACACACACCTCCATACAAAGTCATTTTTCAACATAAACTTTGCCTTTGTAAAGGCAGTTTTGGTAAATTACCCATTTGTATATATTTTATACTCAGTTCTGGATAATTCTGCTAATTTCTGTTTTCAATTAGAATACATATCCAGCCTTTTTTCATTAAATTATCAAAAAGAGCTATGTATTTCTTAATTTAAAAACTTAAATACACCTGAAAGATGCAGAGATTAAAAATTTTCAAAAAATGTATACATGTCCTATATGCTAATAATCAGGAAGAATAATATATTTGCATTTATTTATGGTACTAGAGATTAAACCCAGGGCACTCTACCATTGAGCTACATACCCAGTCCTTTTTTACTTTTTATTTTGAAACAGAGTCTCACTAAGTTGCTGAGGCTGGCTTCAAACTTGCCATCCTCCTGCCTCAGCCTCCTGAGTAATCCCTAGGATTACAGGTGTGTACTACCATGTCTGGTCATTTGCATTTATTTGATAGTTTAATTAAATGACTTATTTTAATATTACTGCCTATTGAATTAAAGCAAAATGATAGAATTATTAAAGAAAAAGGCAGCTGTTCTGTAATTGCTGAGTTGATTTTCATGTGCCTTTGTACAATGTTCTAAAATCCTCTGGTACACTCTCTGGACCTGGAAAATACATGACCTTGAATCAGTTGTTAACAGAAAATATACCTTCCTACTATAAGATTCTTCTTAAAAGATAACCTTTAAAGTTGGACTGTTTCCTGAACCAACAGAGAGCAAAAGCAGCAATGGCCTTTTGAGTCACAGTTGACACAGTCAGTCCTAGGCAACAGTTGGCAGCACCAAGCCCTAAGAGAAGGAAATCTGTGAACATAGAGGCAGATTTCTCAGGCTACATTTTTTTCCTTTATTTGGCCCATCATGTGAAAGATAAATTATTTTCTAAAGTGATTAAGTGCTCTCATCAATTAGCCAGCTAGAGTATTAATCCTGAAGGAAAAATGTAATAAGCTCTTCTTCCATAAGTGCCAGCTGTCAAAAACTACCAGAGTTAGTCAAAGCTCTTTAATGTTCCAATCAAATCACAAGAGTGGAAAGTCACTGCACGAAACCCATTAAGCTGCATTCCTAAATGTCCACTGTTACATAAAAACTATAAATAACTTTGTACTTTCAGAGTTTTCTTTTCAATTTGCTTTCCTTGAAGTAATGATGATATTCTGCTTCAGTTAATAAAGTAATTTTGGAGCTGCCTTCATGTTTAATCCACATACTCTTTCTGAATAAAGATGGCAAGTAATGATCAAATAGGTAGAATTGTAAGCATTCTTTGGAATATCTGTTGTTAAAAATTTTAAAACTTGAGAGGATCACCAAAGATAGAGGAGGGATCAAAAAAAAATCACTATGTTTAATAAGCTTTTGAATTGACTCTTGGGGGAATAAAATGAAATGCTACTTCTGTAAAAAGGATCTATTCTTTTTAAAAAATATTTTTTAGATGTTGATGGACTTTTATTTTATTCATTTATTTATATGCAATCCCAAGCCCCAGCATCTAGTCTTTTAAATATTACAAAGGAATTAACATTCTGATTATTGAAGCATCACTTTCTACTGGCTTTAAAAAAATAAGCCTGTAGCCAATACTACACAAATACTATCTCAATGTCCAAAAATGATAATTGAATTAAGAAGGTTTGGGGCTGGGATTGTAGCTCAGTGGTAGAGTGCTTGCCTAGCATGTGTGAGGCACTGGGTTCGACCCTTAGCACCACATAAAACAAATAAATACATAAATAAAATAAAGGTATTGAGTCCATCTACAACTAAAAAAAGTATTTTAAAAAAGAGAGGGGCTGGGGTTGTGGTTCAGCAAGAGTGCTTGTCTAGCATGTGTGAGGCCTTGGGTTCGATCCTCAGCACCACATAAAAATAAATAAATAAAGATATTATGTCCAACTAAAAAATAAATATTAAAAAAGCAGCTTTCAAACAAATATTAAAAGTAGATCACAGGTTGGGGTGGGGGGGCTGCTGGGGTTGTGGCTCAAAGTAAAGCGCTTGCCTAGCACATGTGGGGCCTTGGGTTCGATCCTTAGCATCACATAAAAAAAATAATAAAATAAAGGTATTGTGTCAACCACAACTAAAAAATAAATATTAAAAAAAAATAGATCATGGGGCTGGGGTTGTGGCTCAGTGGTAGACCTATCTTCTTGCATGTGTGAGGCCCTGGGTTAGATCCTCAGTACCGCATAAAGATAAATAAATAAATAAAGATATTGTATCCAACCACAATAAAAAAAAAAAAAAAGTACGGCTGGGTTTGTGGCTCAGTGGTAGAGCACCTGCCCTGCACATGTGAGGCACTGGGTTCAATCCTTAGCACCACATAAAAATAAATAAGTAGAGATATTGTGTCCATCTATAACTAAAAAAATATTTAAAAAAAAGCAGAGCACACTTGGAGCAAAGAGATCAAAGCTTATATACTTTACTTAGGGTAGAAACAAAACACACACACATATACAAATGTATATATTTATTTTATTTATTTTTTTTTTAGGATAGTTAAAAAGAACTGGCCTAAGATGGACATACTAACAATATGAAATCTAAGTTTTCAAATCTATAGGCAAGATATTTTGAAAAATATACTGAAATCAAAATGAAGTCAAGCAAAGCATATGAATTTATATCTTTTTTAAAGGAAAACCAAAGAAATCTTCAAGTACCTTATCCAAATGAAACAGAGGCTGGAAGCATTTTGAATTCTTGAATTTCACCAGGAATCTTATGCTAATTTTTTTAGCACATGATAACAACTACATTTTATGACAATTTTTATTCGTAAAATAACCATCCCAAACTATCAGATTATATTAAATCTATAAATAGATTTTTGTGGAAATAATAATCCTTTAGTATTAGAATGTGAGTACCTAATTAAAAAGAATAAATGTTGACACAAGACAACTATACAGTTTTAAAATAAATAACCATGATATATGCACCAAGTTTTATTTGCCTTCAAATTACATGAATAGAACAAATACGTTAGTTAAAATATTAAATTTTCTTGCATTTTACAGAAGAAAAAGAAAGTGAAGTGAAACTGTAGGAATTGCTGAACTTCAGATAAATGTTTCTTCAAAACAAGAGATATTAGTTCCTAAAAGATTCCTCTAAAGTTAAAAAAAGATTAAGAAAAACATTAAGCCATTGGGGTTATTACAGTTTTAAAAAACTACATGTTTCTTAATGGATATATGTTTACATTTACAGATAGTTAACTTAGTCTCCTGTCTCATAAAACTCAGAAGACACCATTGACGTCTAAACTAAGCAAAACTATAAAAGTCTTTTTTTATATTAAAAAAACTTTGAAACCTAAATATACCCTAATTTTATTTCCCAAGAAAACTTAATAATGAATGGCTAATCAGAAAGCAAAATGTTGTAAAAATCACTTTCAAGAAAAGAAATACATTATGAGATTATACTTATTGCTGGTAACATCAACTAAAAACCCAAAAGATGACATACATATTCAGAGGATCAGTCGATCCTCTCCTCCCTCCTGAATTACCTGACCAATGGAGGTTTGGCTTTGTTGTTTCAGAAAGCACTGTTTTTTACATTCCATCAATTGTTCAAAATCACGCCACATTTTCGCTTGCTTCATGTTTGGACCATGACTTTCTCGTACAGCTTTTTGTTTTTCCCGGAGTTTCTATCATTTAAAAAAAATCAAGAATAATTAAATCTCAGTTATAGGAATCTATTTCTATTGTTGTAAGTCAGAGGAATATGGAATGCTTTGTACATTTGATGAGTATTAGTTAAAGAACAAGGTTCTCCTACAACATGTCAAAACTGAGATTATTAAAGCTAATTAAGTTTAAGGTAGATGTAGAACAACCTTAAATTAAACAGAACAATATAAAAAAAAGAGAGGGGAAAATAAAGAGAATTAGGAAAATAGAATAGTGTCATGGTATAGAATACAGATTTAGGAAGTCAAAAGATGAGTCTTAACTTTAGCTTTGTCACTAGAGGAAGCAAGTTCTTTGAACCTGTTTTCTCAGTTGTCAATTACGGCTAATATTAGTGGACAATAAAATTATCTGGCCCTTATAATATTTTTCACATGTCAATAAATATGAAAATACTTGCTAAGCTATCATGTATTATGTATGTTGCTGTTATTACTAGATGTTATATTCTATCCTGAAACAGTATATGCTCTCTGTATGTTCAAATTAATCAATTATATACATATTCCTAAGGGGAAGACATAGGGATTATTTAAAACAAAAAACAAAAAACAAAAAACATAGCATTTAGTAGGCCAGAATCCTTCTCAGAATTTATTTTGTTACTAACAGACTAGAAAATTCCAGTTGCCAAAACTGTTTTACTTGTTGATTCTAAAACTATAAACATAAGTAAAAAAAATTTTTTCAATTAATTACAAAATAATTTAGATTCTACATTATGGGAGATTGAGGAAGGCTGACTGAAAGGAAGGTCAACACAAACTCGAAAGACGTGGTAGAGAGGAGGTGAGGGAGAGGGAGGAAGGAGAGGAGGGATGGGGGAAGGAAGAAGGAGGCAAACAGAGAGAAGACAACAACAGTGTACATATAAGGAAACAGTGTGACAGAAATATCTACACTGACATGGAGTATGAGGAAAATCACCAAGAGGGAGAGAAAAACACGCAAAGACATGGAAGCAGGTTACACAGGAACATCCTCATCTTTTCCTCTTTTAGCACAGGGTAGATCCACTAGCTAATCTAAGGACAAATGAGAATGGTGGTAGGTACTTGCCCAAATAAGAGGATAAACTAAGCTGAAGATTCAAGTCACTTATTAAATACTACCCACCCCAGCTATGGATAATGAAAGCAAAGTTAACAGTAAATAGCAAGAGAAAACAAAGTAGAATTTAAAATGTGTAAATTTAAAATATAACCAGCATAATTTTTATGCCATACCTAGCATATGAATACATCTATTTAAGTTTATATGTTATACATAATGTATCTTACAACAAACATTTTTATCCACTTAAAAGTATTTGGAAAGGACATTAAAGCAAACCAAGAATTTTAAGAGTTCTGAACATGATTTTAAATTAAGATACAACTTAAACTGTAACTTTTTTGTATTATTGGAATAATTCCCTTGTCAAAAATCCTAATAACCTGTAAAAGTTATTTAAAGAACCAAAGACAGAATGTGGGTACTATTTTGTGTAAGAAATATTAAATTTAATTTGCTATACAACTGTATGTATGTTTGAAACCTGTAACTTCCTGAGTAAAACTGACTTTAGTATGTAATATATTTGAAAGCTTATTGTCATTTAATATAGATTTATTTTGTTTTTAATTATTAAGTACAAGAAATTGTTTTGTTTTGTACCAGGGATTCAGGGGGCTCAAACATTGAGCCACATCCCTAGCCCTTTTTGAATTTTTATTTGGAGACAGGGTCTCACTGAGTTGCTTAGGGCCTTGCTAAATTGGGTTTCATTGTTCTTTAAAGGAAAAGGGGAGACTCAGTTAGCCTGAGGATGTCTATGAATGTCCTGTCTACTAGTTAATCTGAGTTTGCCTTGAAAATTTAGATCTATTCTAGAACCTTTGTTTAAGGAGCTTTGTTTTTTAAATGCCACTGTATGGAAATTGGGGAAAACCTAGTCATTGGCTCATTTTGTTTAAATGACAAATTGCTGCTACCACTTTTTATTTGGAGACAGGGTCTCACTATCCTCAAAGATTTGCAGCAGAACACTACATTGGAAGGGTAAAAAAATTTTTTTTTTTTTTTTTTTTGGTGCTGGGGATCAAACTCAGGACCTTGCACATGCTAAGCACGTGCTCTACCACTGAGGCACACCTCTCCAATCGAAGAATAATCTATAATTAGATTTGTTAATTTAGTTTGGGTCTTTAATAGGATTCAAGGCTTGACAAACATTTCTGTGCACATCGGCATCCATTCAGATATTTTTCAAAATAAGAGAATTAAAAGAATATTTTCATATTATTTAAAATGAACTCTTTGGATGGAAGGCAATTATTCACAATCATACTGAATCCCCAAAACATGCCTTTAAACATGAACATTATTCCTTTTTTTCCTTAAGGAATTCTATAAAGGAATTGCACACATAGAATTCATAAGTTATCTTGTAAATGAGGAATCAGCTTTAGAAGGTTTCCTTTAATTTCTTTACTCTCATTAATGTAATAATTAATAATGGCTATTAGCCATTTATTTACAAATCACAAACCAGAACAAATAAGTGCTTCTTAGAGAAATGGCTGAGTCTAGGTTTGGAACAGGATATGTATAAGAAGAACTCTAGGTTCACCTTTGTCACACCAGAAAATAAAGAAGCCATCAAAGTCTACTGTTATTTCAAAAGGATTCAGAAACTGAATTCTAGAAACTCTCACTGCCCAAATAGGTGATAATTTGAGCACTTATAATAATAATAATTACAACAGAAATATACCAAAGATAGTCAATGTGGAAGTCATAGATACTTTTGAAGGATGATAAACAAAATCAACTCATCATTTTGAAAACCAGAAAAATGACAGCTAGTCAGTATAAATGCATTAAGTCTGAAACAAAGCTTTTCTCATTTGTACTTTAAGAATGGACAAGCTTCAAGAAAAAAAGTGAGTCAAGTGGTTATTCTGCCTTTCTTATACGATCTGTACCTCAAGTTAACTAAATGGTTGATAAAGATTAGTTGCACTTTATATAATTCAATGGAGAGGGAACAAGTTAATTAGAATGCCACCATTTTGCCCATCATGAATTATGTATCTAGGAATTGATTATGAATGTCTGCCTATATCACAAGAAGAAAGCCTTCTGATAGAAGAACCACAACCTATGAAGTATTCTTGTTAAATATCAAAAAACACTTAAAAAATCACAGGATATACTGGGGACAGAAAAACATTCTGATTGATATCACAGCAAAATTCAAAGTGTTGGAAACTCATCAGGACCAATGACTAGACTTTTTTTTCTTCCAACAAACTCCAAGGAAAAAAGATGGATGAATAAATTGGTGAAGAAGAGACTTAAGCAATTACATAGCAATGCAAGGAGTTTTATTAGATCTTGATTCAAACAAATAAGCCATTAAAAAAACAAAGAAACAGGGGCTGAGGTTGCAGCTCAGTGATAGAATGCTTGCCTGGCATGTGTGAAGCACAGGGTTCAATCCTCAGCACCACATACAAAAATAAATAAAATAAAGATATTAAAAAAAACTGGTGAAGTCTGAAATCGATTACTGGATATTATGAAATTATTGTTAAATTATTTTTGGTATGAGAATGTTTTATAGGAGTCTTTATGACACATACTAAAATATGACCAGACAAAAAAATTGGGGGCAATGGGTAAGACTATATATAAAGCAAGACTGGGCAGGAGTTTAATTATTGAAGATAAGTAATGGATATACATGGATATTTTCTCCACTTTTTATATAGTTTTGAAATTTTCCATAATAAGATTTTTTTTTTTAACAATGAAGACTACATCTACCTATTTAGCAACTACTCTACTGTTTTCTATAACATTTGTTTTTCTGAAGATCACCTTTAGAATATTACTTATCAGTTTCTAGGAGCTAATTTAGCTTTTATGTAAAATCATAGACACATGTATGTTTTATAATAATTCAGACCAGAAAATGTAAATAAGGACAAATAATTTTTCCATGAGCAATTTACTGAGTCAGATTAACAGCTAGTCAGTATAAATGCATTAAGACTGAAACAAAGCCATACTTTTCTCATTTGTACTTTAAGAATGGACAAGCTTCAATTTTACATATATATATAGTGTATAAATGAAATTATTTCCATGTTGCACACTCAAGAATTTTTACAATGAAATTAGATACCCATACATGGTCAGCATTGTAAAAGAAAAATTGCAGCTGAACAATGATGATGCTACAAACGTGATAATTAGAAAATCTAAGAAAACTTGATTTTCAATAGTGAAAATAAAATAACCCTAGAGAAGAAGAAACTCAAGAAATTAATCAACTAATAAAAATATATGAACTCTTATTAGGATGCTGACTCATATAAGAGACAAGTGATGAAATTTGAACATTGATTGGATATTTAAAGAAAGAGAAGATATGGGGATTATGAAACATGGTTAGCCTTCATCGTACAACAGGCTTAAAATCACTGATGATGACCTCAGAACATATCTTGGTCATTTAATTTTTAAGTTTCTCATCTACCTATTTCAGTTTAAACATGAAGAAATAAAGTTGTTAGGGGGCTTATCCAAGACCCCAGTCAATAATCGGTCATTTTTCTTCTGACAGAGGTCTTTTTTTCCTCTAAGAATGACATGGCTAGTGTTGTTAAAGCATGTTGCTTTATGAAGTCAATTCCAATAATTAATTGGTTAGTTATTTAATCCTGATGGTCAAGGCCTTTAGTACCTACCACCTCTTTTAGTAGGAATGGCTCAGAGAACTGAGAAAACAAGACTCAGTCATAAACTCCTATTTTAGTAGTCCTCAGATAATTTTGGGAGCTGAATATTTTAAGTAAGGTGCTGTAGTTTAGATCTTGAATATTCCCCCAACGGTCCATGTGTTAAAGCCTTGGTTCCCTAGGGTAGTGTTATTGGGAGGTGGTAAAACCTTTAGGAAGTAGGACACCAGAGGCATGCTCTTAAAGGAGACTGTGGGACCTGGTTCTAGTCTTTCTCTATTGCTTCCTCATGAGGTTAGCAGTTTGCTCTGCTATAGACTCCCTGCCATTGTCATCTAGTACTCTCGTCACAGGCCTGAAACCAATAGGTTTTTTTCAGGTATTTTGTTTTGTCAATAGCTAATCCATAAGGTTTTTCAGTTGTCTATGTTAAATGAATCAATGTTTGTAAAGGGCTTAAACCAGTATATAGAAGGCTTTGTCTTTATTAAATAAAATAAATGAATAACTATATGTATATTTCATAAACAGAAAAATGTGAGAATAATCTGAAAACTATAATAAGAACCTTATTATTAACTGTTATTTAAAGCTAGATGATTTTTTTCCCCAAAATTCTGCTGTAGAGTTAGGACTGTAGCTCAGTGTAGAGTGCTTGACTAGCTTGCACGAGGCCCTGAATTTGATTCCCAGCACCAATAAATAAATAAATAAATAAAAGAAGGCACAATGGATTTTCTTTCTTTCTTTTTTTTTTTTTTTTGTGCTGGGAATTGAACTCAGGGCCTCATGCATGCTAGGCAAGTGCTCTAGCACTGAACTATACCTCCAGCCCCTGACTTCCTAAGGAATGGTCTTCATCTATAAAAAAAATTAACAATTTCTCTTCAAAAAAAACTATACTATAACCTTTTTAAAAAAGAACAACATCATAACCATGAACTAAAAGCCTGAATTAGTTAGATTTATTAAAAAGGAAAAAATAATTCTCACCTTTCCAAGGTTTTCTTGTTCAGCAATATTTTTGGTATACTGTTCCCTAGGGAGTCAACATAATGATTTAGTTTCAATTTACTTCAATTGATTTAATCATACAACTAAATTATAAATTAACAGACCTATCTAAATATATTAGTCAAAATAGTTTAAAATGGGTACTAGAGTCAGAATGAAATCCATTTTCAAACACTTTTTGTTTCCCTGTCTTCAGTCAGTTCTAGCAAACAGTAATTTAAGGAAAAAAAAAAAAAAGAAGACAAAACATTGCCTAGGTAATTAAGAGAATTAAGATGTTAAGTGCTATTTCTGGTTATTATACCCTTAAAACAATGGCAACCTATTTTAAATTATACTTTTTTTTTTTTTTAAAGAGAGAATTTTAATATTTATTTTTTAGTTTTTGGTGGACACAACATCTTTGTTTGTATGTGGTGCTGAGAATCGAACCCGGGCCGCACGCATGCCAGGCGAGCGCGCTACCGCTTGAGCCACATCCCCAGCCCCTTTAAATTATACTTTAACAAGGCTTGCAGGAAGGAGAAAGAATACCCATTTTAAACATTAAATAGTATATAATTCTGCAATTCTATTTCTAGGAAATCACATTACAAAAAAACTCCCTGACGTTAATGAACGTAAAAACAAATATTATTTACTTCACCAGTGCTTAGAATAGAAATAAATCTGCAAACAAACAAACTAAATGCCTATAGAGGGGAAAATGTTTATACAGATATATTAGCAAATGTCTGCGAAAAAAATATGGCATAACATATACACCAAAAAGGCATGGCCATGTGGACAGCATAAATTTCTGTGCACATTGTTTCATAATGATTACTTTTTGTTTTTATAAGTTTTTCTTTTGTAAGCTAAATAAAAATAAGTTTTTAAAACCTATTTACAAAAAGTTTTATTCTATTACTTTTAAATATATCAAATACTTCTAAATATTTTATATATATATGTATATATATATGTATATATACATAAGAACCCTAAACATTGATTCATCTAACATAGACACTATTATTCACAGCACTGGTAAATAAAATTGCACACCTAGCAATGGTTATAATCTGATGTATCTTCTAATAATGACCATTTTGTCCTTGAAGCTTTTCCTTCTCACTTCCTTCCTCTCTACTTTCAGTTCAGTGGACAAGTACAAGCATATGTCATGCTTAGAGATGGTTGAACAAATTCATATCCAGAAGTCATTTACAAAGGACAAGGTTTCCTATAAATTTCAACACAAATGTACAAAATGTGCTAATTTTACTAACTACTTGGTCATACACTGGCAACCTCTTTAACATCTACAGACTAGGTGTTGCAAAATTTGGTCTCATTTGTTCATTATATGCATGTTTACCCAGCAAAACAAAATGCAAAAAACATACAGGAAAATGATGTCTTAAAATGCCTAAGTATGAATACACTAACACATTTCCTTTTTTTTTTTTTTTTTTTTCCCCCCCTGGGGAGGGGGTAGTAGGGATTGAACTCAGGGGCACTCAACCACTGAACCACACCCCCATATCTTTTTTGTATTTTATTTAGAGCCAGGGTCTCACTGAATTGCTTAGGGCCTCACTAAATTGCTGAAGCTAGCTTTGAACTTGCAATCTTCCTGTCTCAGCCTCCTGAGCCACTGGAATTACAGGTGTGTGCCACTGTACCCCGCACACATTACCTTTTGTAATTGCTTCCCTCCCACCTCTTCCACATCACTGAAAAAGTATAGATAGTACTATACTGCTCACAGAGGTGGTTTAACAGTTCCATTTCCAAAAGACAGCATTTCATATGAATTTTAGCAAAAAGAAATTCACAAATTCACATATTTTACTATCTATATTTAACATGCATGGGCATTTTAATCATCTAGACAGATTGGATGTTTCAAGTAAGTTCTCATTTGTTCATCTTGCACATGACAGAAAAATAAGTTTTAATGTAAACATTTTTTAAAATGTCAAAAATTAAAAAAAAAAATTGTCTTGACCATACAAGACAAAAATAAGATATAAAGTGGGTGACATGTCAAGGACAAAAATTGAAGAATAGAGGACAAAGGAACAAATGACAAAGAGTATAAGAGAGACTGTAGACCTTATATTTGAATGTAAATAGATTGTATTTAATAAAAGTAAATAATACAAAATTGAGACTCTAAGAAATAATAAACCAGAAGAGAAAATATAGCAGCCTAAATGAAGAGAAAGATTATTATGCATTTGTGCAAAAAAGGGATACAAAAGTGAGTAGAATAGAGAGAATGGCAATCAAAAGTACCCAAGATCCTTATAGAGCTTAAGTCAAGGTAGAATTTATGCACAGGAATGAGGGTGGAAGAGAATAAATATATTCCTGATGAAATTAATTTTACTCTTAAAATTTATGAGACACTAAGTCAAACTGTTTGGTTTTCCAGTTTGCCAAAGAAAAACAGCTAGAAGGATATAAATGACATATTACTCAACAAGAATGTATAGCTCAGATTGCTTTAGATAATTCATTTATTCTTCTAGGCCTCAGAATTGTTCAAATTATTCCTGCATTTCCAATTATGTAAAAATTTTTCAATATATTAACAGGCTTATTAATATGATATACATACTAAAATCTAAATTAATCCAATAGTTATTTAAGAAATAATTATGGGGGTCTGGGGTTGTGGCTCAGTGGTAGAGTGCTTGCCTAGCTTGTGTGAGGCACTTGGTTTGATCCTCAGCACCACATAAAAATAAAATAAAGGTATTGTGTCCATCTACAACTTAAAAAAAAAAAAAAGGACCTGGATTAAATAAAAAAGAGGGAGGGAGGGAGAGAGAGAGAATATTATAGAATATTAGGTGTTAGGTGTGCTCTGGGTTTCAAGTACAAAACAGGACAGACAGGGCCTTTGCTCTCTAGGTATCATGCTACACAGTTGCCAAAGCACTGCTGTGTATATTCTATTACTTGATTCTATAAATGAGGCTCTCATTTTATAGACAATAGAGTGATCTGTCCAAGGTCACACAACTAGAAAGTGAAAAACCAGATTAGAAGAAAGTTTTATGATTCCTTCTCCAGTATCCTGAGCTAAGATATGTTGCCTTCTTAAGTAGCATTAAGAGCAAACAATTTTTCAAAGCCAAGCTAATTTCTTATACTTTGGGGCTCACCAGAAAGAACTGTAAAATTTAAAAATGGAATAACAATGTGGCTTAGTGGTAGATCGTTTGCCTAGCACATGTGAGGCACTGGGTTCAATTCTCAGCACCACATATAAATAAATAAAATAAAAGTCCATTGACAACTAAAAAATATTTTTTAAAAATGCTGTGTCCATGCTGATATTTTAGGTACGTATTAATAGGGTTAGAATATCATAATATTCTGGGCTGGGGATGTGGCTCAAGTGGTAGCGTGCTTGCCTGGCATGCATGTGGCCCAGGTTCGATCCTCAGAACCACATACAAACAAAGATGTTGTGTCCGCCGAAAACTAAGAAATAAATATTAATAAATTAAAATCTCTCTCTCTTTTAAAAAAAAGAATATCATAATATTCTTATGTATTGCTATAATCATGGCACAATATTTTTCCATAGCAAAAGTAGGGAACAGTGAAGGTTTATAATGATTTTTTAATGATGAAAAAGAACATCTTGCTAGAAAAATGATTAGAAAATCAATAGTTGAGAGCGGGATGGGGGTATAGCTCAGTTGGTAGAGTGCTTGGCTTGCATGTACACGGCCCTGGGTTCAATCCCCAGCACAACCAAAAAATAAAAATAAAAATCGATAGTTCAGGAGTAATTATTTCTTTCTTTACTATTTATATTGATAATTCTGAAAGAAATGGAACTAAATTTCTGTAACCTTTTTATTTTTTAAGAATTAAAGCAAAATTTGCATTCAGCAAAAGAATCTGAATGAGGACATTTTCAGTTTAATGTGTGAGAGTATATATTAGAAAAAAACATTGCTCTGTTTATAGGACATTTTGAGTCTGGCTTTTATTCCAGTGTACTATATACATATAAACATTCAGACTCTGCAAAGATACTATTTCTTAGATTTCTTTTTGTAATATTAATGTATATGCCACTCAAAAAAAAATTAAAAAAAAATTTTTAAAAAATCTTATTATTATTTTTTTTTTTTGGTGGTTTTTTTTTTTTTTGTCTTTTTTGGAACTGGGTGTCGAACCCAGGGCTTTGCGAATGCAAGGCAACACTTTGCCACTGAGCTACATCCCAACCCCCACCAAAATCTTAAATATAATCTCAAATAAATGTGAATCCTAAACATCAAGATCTTATTGGATTGTGAGAGCAAAACATTTGAATTGTGATGAGGGGCAAATAAAGCTTACGTTGTTCAATGACTGAATTTTATTATAGCTGGCAATTCAACTATAAATGAATTTTTTTAAAGATAGGATTTGATTTATTAAAGTATGCCACAAGATAGGATTACAAAAAGAATCACCATATAAGGACTAAGTAGTATTTATACACTCTTCTCACTTTAAATGCTGGCACACTGCAATCACATCGTTTCTAGCTAAAATGCAGTCATCACACTGCACAATTAACAGGCAGATGATAAGAGTCCCAGCCATGTGGGGCTTTAAAAAGAAACGAATGTTAATGCTTATAAAAAAACAACTATAGGATTGGGATGTAGCTCAGTGGTAGAGAGCTTGCTCATTGTACGTGAGGTCCTGGGTTCCATCACCAGCACCCCCCCCACACACACACACATACACACACACACACACACACACAAAAGCAACTATAAAATTATACATATTTGGGGCTGGGCTGTAGCTCAGCAGTAGAGTGCCTGCCTCACATGTGTGAGGCACTGGATTTGATCTTCAGCACCATATAAAAATAAATAAAGCTATTGTGTCCATCTACAACTAAAAAAAATATTTAAAAAATTATACATATTTCTGGAAATGAGGAGTTTTGCTTAATGGTTATAAAAGTTTGTGTTTGCAATGAGGAATCAGTTTTGAAAATATATAGTAGTGATGGTTGCACAGCATTTTCAATATAATAAGTGCTAATGGGATTGTATGCTTACGAAATGGTTAAAATAGTAAATTTTATTATACATATTTTACCATATTAAAAAAAGCAAACAAGCAAGAAATAAAATACAAGTATTTCTATTTAGTAGCAGGGCTGGAATATCCAGAAGACGTTTAATGAAATTTAGTCCTAAACAATAGCTTACCATCTGCTTATTTAAATATTCTAAATATGTATAATTCTATTTTATTTATTAAACTTCTATAAGTAAGAAATTAAAAACTCAATATAAAAAAAATATCACTTGCCTAAATGCCTTCCTTTTTTCTTGTTGATCAGAAGAGACATATGCCTTCATCTCATCAGTAGCACGACAAAGCTGAACTTCTAGGTTCTAAATAGAAAGACAAGTTTCAGGGAAATCTTTGATTGAAAAAAAAAAAAAACTCAGAAAAGTTTCTGATCCACTTTCTTTGTCTTACCTTAATCATACAATTTGTATAATGGTATTTACTCTCTTCTTGAAGACATTCTTCACGGAGTCCTCTAACTTCCTACAATTAGTTTAAATGGGCAACATTATTGAAAGAATAAGACAGATGAAAAAAGGATGACTTTAAATGTACAATAAAAGAAACACCAGAGTCATTTCTTCTTCTGCAATTATAAATCTTTTTTACTGACAGAATAGGTTTTTATTTTTATTTTTTTTAGAGATGGTGCATATTACTCCAAAACTTGAGGATTCAGTTGTTCATTTATTAAGTTCTACTGTGTCCAGCACTGTCCTCAGTGCTAGGGACACAGCAGGGAATTTAAGTAAAAGAGATAGGCTGATATAAACAACAACAACAACAACAACAAAAAAAAAAAAAACATGAAGTGAAAGTGATTGTAGATGGGAATTAGTGCTACAAAGAAAACTCAACAGTAGAATGTGATATGGAGACAGGGTGGGCCAGGTTGGGAAGGAGTATAGGGTGCTAAGAGATGTTTAAGAGGAAGTGATTTGTAGGCTAAAACCTGCTTGATGAAAGAAGAGAGTAAAACAAAGAGTGAGGGTAGAGTGCCCCAGGCAGAGGGAAGAGCACATGCAAAAGCCTGGAGGTGAAAATGAGCTGGACCTGTTTGGAGTTCAGGAAGAAAGCCCGTGTGGGTAGAGCTCCATGGATGAGAATCACAGCACATGGATATGAAGTTAATGAGGCAGGTGGGGCCTTGTATACCAGTTTGGAAGTCAGATCTTATTTTATTTTTTTTGGTACCAAGGACACTCAACCACTGTGCCACATCATCAGCCCTTTTTTAATTTGAATTTTTTTTTAGAGACGGGGTCTCACTAAGTTGCTTAGGCCCTCATTAAAACTAGCAAAGGCTAGTTTTGAACTTGCAATCCTTCTGCCTCAGCTTCCTGAGCCTGTAATTACAAGGCATGTGCCACTGCACCCAGCTGTAAGTCAGATTTTAAGTGCTATGGGAAGCCAATGGAGGATGGTTTAAATTTTATACAGGTTTCTTTGACTACTCTATGGAGAATGAAACTTAGGAAAACAAAAGTGGAAGCAGGAGGGCAGGTAGAAGATTACTGTGGGAAACCTTGCAAGTGACAATGGACTCTGGACTTTGGCAGTAGTGGTATAGATGAAAAAATTCAGTGTGTACATATAAAGTTTAAAGAAACACTTCTGAAGCTAGAAAGACAGGTCAGAAGATGATGATAAAGATTTGGGAATCTTCTGACACTGATATAGTGAAAATGTGCATACATAGCAGTTTTTGCTAAATTGTTATAATAAAAATTCTCTTCTTACCTGTTCTAATTTGGACCGATTGCTTTCCAGGCCTGCTGCACAGCTATCATACTGGGATTTCTTTTCATCACACTCCTGGGTTAGTTCCTAGTATGAAAAGGGCAAATGATTGAGTAAGTGAAAAACAAAGGTCTAAAATGTGGCTCTGAAACAATGCGTGCCCTTGTCAGTCTTGTAACTTAACTCTAAGCTTCTTGGCATACTTAAGAGTTATTTATACAACAATCAGACATTTGAGAATTATGACAGATGGAAATGCTGATAAGAATAATAGCTACCATGTAGTGAGTTGTGTGCCAGGCTCTTTATTAGGAGCTTGGGATACAAACAGTGAACAAAATAGCCCCAAATTCTTCCCCTCAAGTAACATTCAAACAAGTAAACAGGCTGCTGGGCGCTCTGATGGGCAAATGCAAGGTGCATAGGAGCACAGAGGACTCTCACACACCCCAGCCCAGTCTTAGGGATCAGTGAATGTGACAACTTCCTGGAGAAACTGAGCATAAGGATTAGTAAGATTAGTCAGGGGAAAGGTGAACAAGGGGAAGAGGACATTTTTTAAAAAGGAACACTATGTATGAAGGATTGGAAGAAAGAACAAGAACAATTAAGGAACTTACAAACTGTTTATTAGGCTGGAGTGGGTCTGGGAAGTAGTGAGAAGGGAGGATGAAGGCTTAGAAAAGGGACTGATCAGAAGAATTTTCTAGGGTGTTTGAACTGGACCCTTAAGAATAAGTGAATCTCATAAAAGTTCCTTGAAGGAGCTATTACTATCCCACACAATGCTTGGAGAACATTCAGGGGGGGCATATACCTTGCCAAAGATATACTGCTGGAAAGGGGTGGTGTCAGAATTTGAGTTCAGGCCATTTTCAGTAGTTTCAATGTTTATTCTAATGTAATATTTTGAAGGAGATTATCTGAAAATCTGCTGCAAAACCTAGAAATGATTAAAGTATTGAAAAAATACTTGATTAGGTACATATTCTTTTAAATACAGAGCTGAACTGAATTCTTAAGGAAGTAAGAGGAATCACCAGGGTCGTAAACAACAGATGACACAGTGGCTACTCTTGGTGAAAGGAGTTGAAGGCAGTCAATCCTGGTAATAGAGTGATTTTTGATGCCCAGACAGGGCAGAAGAATACCTTGGGCCTATGCAGGAAGTTAGAACTGAGGGTCCTGTAATAAATCCAAACTGCCTTCAACTTAGGACCTTGTAAGTAAAGGGTTAATACCAGTCCCTGAGAATGACTCTGGTTTCATATAATACAGTTTCCTTGGAAATGGAAGACTTACCATAGATTAGTAATGTTGTGTGTGCTGCCTTTGTTGTCCATACAACAAAGAATTGTATCTGACTTGGGGTGACTAGTATAAAAGATAGTGTGGAAAAGGGGCTGTGGCTTTCATTTATCAAAGTGACCTACAGCTATAGCTATGACTCTCAAGGGTAACAGTCATATACACCCTAAGTGGGAGAAGGGGCAGCAGATGTTCTTTACTTAGGTAGCTGCTGGGCCTTTTGAAGAGATGAAGATGCTATAGTTGACGAAAGCCTTTTTAGTTGGTCAGTCTTATGGTCAAGCTGATCAATGTGCAACTCTAGTGCTGCAGAGACAGCAGACAAGGAAAGGAGGCCTGAAATCAGGTAGGCCTGAGGTTAGTATTTACCCCACCGCATGGTCTAGGAACTCCCAAGATAAGCTCAAAATTAGCTCCAAGCTTGTGTTATTTCTAAAAACCCTGGCAGAATAACTGCAAATCCATTCTGGAGGGACACATATTCCACCTTAGCTGCCAAGATTCAAGAGACAAAATCATGTTAATGGCAGGCTGACAGTCTCAAAGCAGAAAACATGTAAGCAAACAATTAATACATTAAGGAGTAAGAATCAGAAGATATAAATTGCAGCAGGATCACACCTCAGGAACTTTGGATCCTAGAAATAAGCTCATTAAATAAATATGCTTAAAATTTAAAAAACAAATAGAAAGGATTAGAAAAATCACACTGAAAAAAATCGAAATGAAAAACATAGTCACAGAAATTAAAGTGGATAGAATAGATCTAAGATTAGACACCAGTGACAATAAAAAATATTGAATTAGAAAAGAGAACTGAAGAAATTACTCAACATTCAACATAAACAAAAAGATGAAAATCATGAAACTGAGGTTAAGCAATAAGGAACAGAATAGACATGTATAACACATGTCTAAATGGAAAACAGACTAGAAAAAAAATGGAGGAGAGAATATTTGAATGTATTATATACAATTTTTACAGAAATAAAGACACAAAATAAATTCTAGATATACACTTAGACTATGGTAGCAAAATTAGACACCACTGAAGAAAAAGATAAAGACATTAAAACCAATTATATGAGCAAAATGGCCCAAAAAGAAAAGATAAACTGATAGCAGACCCTTCAATGTATTAAGAGAAAGCAGTGAAAAGGTATTTTTTCTGACCAAGCCATTATTCACACAAACATCCCCCAAAAAGGTTACATTATTTGTTGTAGTGATTCTTTACTGAGAGAACTACTAAAGAATACAAAACAAGGAAAGCTGAAATTCAGGAAGAAGGAAACAGGATCCAGAAGGAAGGAGTAGAATATAAGCAGCAATGGTGAGAACTGCTAACTATCTGGATAAATCTAAACAGGAAATGATTGTATAAAATAGCAATTATAATAACAATGATAACTACTTTTAGAGATAGAAATAAGAAGGAAATAAAATGCCAGAGACTAACAACATCCATTCAAGATAGGAGAGGATGTTAAGTTACTCTGCTGTCCTATATTGCTAGGAGATGCTGACTAACTCTTGACTTTGTTAGATCTGGACTAGATGTTAAAAACTTAAAAGTAAATCATATCAGAATCAAAGTAGAAGAAAAAAAAGATGTAAAAGGGAAACAAAATAGGATTGGTACAATGGGGGGTTGAAAAAAAGAAATTAAGCTGAAACAGTAAATAGAATGAACAGAATTTTTAAGAATCCAAATGTATCAATAACCAGTAAGTGCAAATGGGACTAAGTTCTCCAATTAAAAGATTCTCAAAGTGGATGTAAGAAACCCCTTTCACATAAAATTTAGCTATATGGGGCTGGGGTTGTGGCTCAGTGGTACAGCGCTTGCCTACCATGCATAGGGCACTGGGTTCGATCCCTAGCACCACATTAATAAACAAACAAACAAATAAATAAATAAAGGTATAAAAAAATCTAGCTATATGCTATTTATGAGGCACATATAGGACAAAACTAAGGACACATAAAACTCAAAGGGAACATATAAAAAGATGTACCAAATAATGCTAATGATAAGAAAGTTGGCATACCTGCTTTAATAGTAGGCAAAATAAGCCTCTGAGGCAAAAAGTATTACCAAGAGCCAAGAGGGTTAACAAATACAAATAAAATATATAATTTACCAGGAAACTTTTTTTAAAAAATAAGGTGTTTTTTCTTTTGGATATAGTAAAATACACATAAGATTTACCATCTTCACTATGTTTAAGTACAGAGATCAGTGGCATTAAGTTCATTTACAATGTTGGGCAACCATCACCACCATCAATCTCTAGAACTCTTTTCAACTGAAAAACTTTCACTGAGACTTTTTGTCCATTAAACAACAACTCTTCATTCACCAGGAAGTTTTGAATAACATAGCTAAAAAGCCTGATCTGTTGAACACATGGAATACAAATGGAAAATAGACACTCTTGATAAGATCAAGTCACTAAAAAAAATTAGGCTGGCCTCAGACCTTTTGATAGCCACCCATAACTCTAGAAGACTATATAGCTATGCTTTAAAACTCTTCAAGGAAAGAAAGCATGATCTAGTAAGCTGCTGTTGAAATATGTAAGTTGTACCTAGGTGTCCATCAAGGGATAAATAGATAAAGAAAATGTGGTGTATATATACAATGGAGTTTAATTCAGCCATAAAGAAAAATGAAATTTTGTCATTTGCAGGAAAATGAATGGAACCAGAGACCATGATGTTAAGTGAAATAAGTTAAACTCAGAAGGTTAAGGGTTGTATGTTTTCTTTCCATATGCAGAAGCTAGAGAAGAAAGAGGAAAACAAAGGTGGGGATGGATCTCCAAAAAATCAAAGGGAGATCAGTAGAGAAAAGGAGTAAGGGGTGGGTAGGGAAGGGGGAAGTGCTGGAGAATGATATTGGCCAAATTATAATGTTACATACATGTATGAATACGCAACAACAAATCCCATCACTATATACAACTATAATGCCCCGATGAAAATGTGGGGGGTGGGGAAGAAATATGTAGACTGCAAACTCATGCAAAAACTAATCAGGGAGCATTTTCTTCTGAGGCTTTTTTGAGGACCTCTGGAAGACAAGTCCAGACAATCAAAGAGAAGTGAGATAAAGAATAATGCAAGGACTGGTAAGAACTACTAGATCTAATAATTAAGGCTTAAAGCCAAAAACAGAGGGGAAACTGAGGTAACAAAACAGAAAGTAACTGTTATTTCCCTGATCGAACAAAAACTGCAGGGAGGAAAAAGGGAAAAGAAGGTGGAAGACATAATTAAGTAAGCTAGTTTTCTAATTTTTTTTATATATTTTTTTTTTAGTTGTAGTTGGACACAGCACCTTTATTTCACTTGTTTACTTTTGTATGTGGTGCTGAGGATGGAACCTAGGGTATCGCATGTGCGAGGCGAGCACTCTATCACTGAGCCACAACCCCAGCTCTCTCATTTTTTTAATTGCTGGAAGTAGGTGAGGGACTGTCAAATGACATCATTTACAGCTAACAAATCAAGTCATAGTATAAGCATATCCAAGGTACAAAAGCAAATACTAAGAAAGGTAATATAATCAACTAAAATTAGGTACTAGAGGAGCATGGGGAGGGAAAAGTAAGAAAAAAAATATTAACTTCATCATTTTACAATAAAGATTAATAGATACCATTATCGATTAATGATAGTGTTGGAAATGTAATTGTTAGAATAAAACCACAAATCAGAAAACACACACACAGAGGAAGTGGGGAGGATTTTTTAAGGCTTTAAAATCAAAAGCCAAACATAAAATGACAACATTAAGATCAAATACATCCACATTATCAATAAATATAAATGGGCTAAATTTATTTTAAAAATCTTTCAGATTATATTATAGAGCAAAACCTAATCTAAGATCTAGTCAAGAAAAATACCTAAAACAAAGTCATTTCTAAAAAGTGTTAACTAAAAGCTTTCTATCATGGTGCATATCTGTAATTCCAGCTACTTGGAAGGCTGAAGTGGAAGAATCACAAGTTAGTTAATTGCCTGGGCAATTTAGCAAGACTCCATCTCAAAAAAAAAAGTAGAAACTATAGATGGACAAAAATGTATAATAGGTAAATGCAAACAAAATAATATTAGTCAGGGTTGACTTCAGTTCCCTCTCCAAAAAAAAATTCATTATTGGTATACTGTTAGTACAAAGAACTTGCCTGTGCAATCTGCCTGCTATGTGACCTAGGGCACATCCCTAACCTCTCTGTGCCTTCATTTGTTTATCTGCATAAAGGGGAGTCCATACTTTATTGGATTGTTAAATGAGTAATGTCACAGTGTATGGCACATAGCTAGTACTTAATAATTATGATTATTATCGAATTCATCGTTATCCCCAAGTTACCACTGCTGAGTGAGGTTGCTGAAACTTTCCTGAACCAAAGTGTTCTCTGATTGTAGTGCCTCTCTACTTGTTTCAGATATACTATGATTCTGATTCTTGGATTTCCCTGAAAGTCCACTTCCTTCATCGTCCTAAGTAACCTTTCAATAAACTCTTCATTTAAAATGTAAATGGATTTAATAAAAAACTATTTACAAATAGATTTATTGGCTTACTAGCAGGAAGACATCTTATCATAACTGGAAATACATATAACCAGTCCTTTTGTCTTTAAATTGCTTACTTAGGGAAACCATTAAGAAAATGAATGAATTGGAATGCATCCATGAAAACAACTACTGATGTTCTCAATGTGAAAAGACTGTTCAAAATTTTCTTTCTGGCCAGGCATGGTGGCACATGCTTGTAATCCCAGGAGCTCAGAAGGCTGAGGTAGAAAGATTACAAGCCATAATCAGCCTCAGCAACTCAGCAAGGCTCTAAGCAACTTAGCAAGACCCTGTCTCTAGATAAAAAATATAAAATGGGCCAGGGACGTGGCTCAGTGATTAAGTGTACCTGGGTTCAATCCCCTGTACAAAAAAATTTTTTAAAAATCATCTTTCTGAAACTTCTTCCTGACATCACTTCATCTCTGCTTCTTTTCTCACCAGTTAGGTATATAATTCTGATTATATATTTTTCTTAAGATGGATTATCTGTTGTTTTCCTTGAATTTCTTTACATCTCATCCATTAGTGCATGAACTCCAGGGAGCAGGAGCTTGTTGTCTCTTCCACTGTGATAGCAGTGGTATAATGGTATAAGCAGATTTGAAATAAAATGATACACATGCTAGAATCAAGCCCCAAGTCTCTAACTTACTACTAATCTACTTGGATAAGCCACTAAACCTATCTCAGACTCTGGCATTTTCTATTAAAAGGAAATTATGTCTAAGTGATTTCAAGTTGATATGATTTTTCATTTTGCTTCTCCAACTCTGATGGAGTTTTTTAGTTCCACATCAGGCATGTGCAGCACAGTTCACCTTCAAACTTAACAATACTACAGGAAGAGTGATGAAATAATTGCAACTGTAAAATGGTGGAGGCCACCTGACCTAGATTTGTGGAAGGCATTAACTTCTTTTCTTTTTATGGTTCTGGGGAATGGGCCCAGAGCCCTCTATCACTGAGCTACACGGCCAGCCCTTTGTATTTTGAGACAGGGTCTTGCTAAACTGTCAGGCTGGCCAGGCTGAACTTGTGATCTTCTTGATTCAGCCTCCTAAGTAGCTGGGATTATAGGTATGCTCCACTGCACCTGGCTAAGACTAACCCTCCTGTTTATCTTTAAAGCAGTGGTTAGAATTCGCTTCCAAGTAATGGTGTTTCATCACTTTTCATGCCTCCCAGCAAAGTGAGTTCCAAAGTTAATTTGTCACTACTTGTTGGCAGACTCTTGAGCTTTACTTGGCTATAGAAGGATGTGGCTTAATATTTACAGATATGACATGCATATGATTTAAAGGAAAAAGTCTCATCTGGTTGCATCTGTGGATTTCAGTTTAAATTCCTGCTTCTCTTCCTTTCCCAGCTTTATGACAAACTTAGTACCATAAGTTAATCCAAAAACTTCAAAGATAACATTATTATTATTATTATTTGTTTTCTATAATTACACAAATAAAATATTCAGTAGTCTACCTAGTATAGCTGAACAAGACAGAACATTAAAAATGTCACAAAATCATATTCCCTTACTTGACATTTTTGACGCAATTGTCGAAGTTCTTTTATGACTGGGGCTAAAGCTGACTTCTTTTCAGATACCAGGGAATTCAATTTTTTTACCTGTCATTTAAACAAAAAAACACAACATTTTAAAAAATTTCAAAAGAAAATATTGCTTGCATAAAAACATGTTGCAGTGTTAAAGAGTATAAAAACTATAAATTACTTCAGGGCCAAACAATGGGAAAGGGACTTAGTAAATTTTGATTCCTCAACAAGATGGAATACTATTTAATCATTCAAAGTGTAAATTATCAAGACTGTAAATCATTATGGGAAAATATTAAATGAATAAAATACATTCCAAAGTTGCCTATACAAACTATAATCATGTTGTACTATTTAAATATATGGTTATGTAAGTTATATAAGATATACATAAATATGAACCGCATGATATTAAAAATACTTAATAACTGAATGGCACAACTAATGACCAATCAGAATAGATACCAGTCATAGGGACAGAGCCCTGGAGGCTGCCTCTGTACTAAATGCTAGTTTTTTAACAAGTTAGATTTTGGTAAAATTCAGAAGATTCTAGGGGAATATCCAATGTAGACAAGGGTACTCGAAGAGTTTGGGGCACAGCAGCTATTTATCAACAAGGAAAAATTTCAATATTATAATGCCTGATGAAAATGTGCCAGTTCATTTTGGCTGAACAAGAGCCCTGAATATGAAAAGACACTAAGGACATATATTAAAAGGAAATAATTTTATTAGGCAGGATAGTATAATTTGGGAAAACTTATTTTTTTGTAAAAAACTTATTCTTTTGCTATATATATGTTATCTAAAAATCATACATAAACTATTAGAAGTTGAACATCCTTATTAAAATGGAAAAATTCAAAAGAGATTGACAAAAACAGAGCTAGGCACAGTGGCATATCCCTGTGATCCCAGAGGCAGGAGGCCAGCAAGTTCAAGGCCAGTCTCAGAACTTAGTGAGACCCTGTCTCAAAATTTAAATAAATAAATAAAGGTCTGGGGATGTGACTCAGTAGTAAAACACCCTGGGTTCAACCCCCAGTACCACCCACCCTCAACAAAAAAAAAAATGAGAGAGACTGATAAGAACAGACCAAAGAATATAAAACACACTGTATAGAAAAGAAAATCTGAATGTTTCACTGAAAATAAAACAAACACAAAATCATCTGTTTTCTAGCAATAGAAGAAAATAAAAGAACTAAAAAGAAAGTGTAATCACCATTTCGGACATGTCATCTAAGGTTCGTCCTTTCATTTCATCAACTTCACTCTTCAGTGCTGATACCCTTTCTAGCTCTTCTTGGGTATAACTATATCCAGATATACCTTTTTTCTCCTCAATAGTTTGCTGTAAGAAAGACATAAAAAGGTCACAAAATGGGTATCAAAATTTTGCTGGTTTCCATATGAAGTAAAGCAGACTTCATACTTTACAAAAAAGTTATAAATACTAAATTTGTTTAGAATTCTAAAGGACAATCTCAAATGACTTTGAATATTACTTCATCCAATTACATGCCTTTCCATGTTACCAACCTATACTAGACTTCATTATGGTATCCTCAGGTGCATAGGAATAATGCTATGTATTTAGTACAGAACCTGAAACACAGGTTATACTCAATAAATATTTAATAAATGAATGAATTCTCAGGTGGTAAGTGGTTCTTGCATTTGGTCACTTATCCAATATTTATTAAATGTCTAACTGTGCAAAGCACAGTTCCAGGCACCAGAATATAGCAGTGCACAAAAAGGGGGGATTCCTTCCCTCACAGAGCCTACTTGTGGAAAAAATAAGCAATGTAAATAAATAAAATACATATGGTGTGAGGTAAGAATGGGGTTGGAATCTTAAATCATAAAGCGATTCGAGAAGTTTTCCCGAAGTGACATCTGAGCAAAGTCCTGAAGGAAACAAGGAAGTGAGACTCTGGCAAAGGAATAGAAACAGGAGTGTTAACTTTAGGAGAAAACCTGGAGAATGTAGCACTCTAGAGACAAGAGAAGAAAAATTTTATAGGAAGAAGTAGCGATTGACTGTGTCAAATATTGCTAAAAGGTCAAGTAAGAAAAAGACTAAGAATTGATCATTGGAATTAGCAATGAAAAAGTACTGGTGATCTCATAAGAAAAATTGCAATGGAATGACTGCTTTGGAAACCTTTCTGGCAAGGGTTCCAAGAAAATGGAAGAACCAGAATAGAAAGACAAGGAGAAAGATAAAGAAGAAAGATAAAGATAAAGAAGATAAATGCAGGACAGAACCCTTGTCCAGTTGGAATTTTGGGCTGCCAACAGAACTGGGATTTAGAGGAATAAAGGGAATTACAAAGAATTAGCCCAAAATTCTGGTACAATTTAGGCACTGCCAAAATCCTAAGCTGTGCACAAGCAGAGTAAGACCCTCAGAAACCAAGTGGAAATCAGCAGATGCTTGCTAAAGATCTGAGTAAGGATTTCAACAGTTTCACATTGTTAGGGAAATGGAGGTAGGAATTCAAGACTTGTCAAGGTAAAGTCTCAGAAGGGCTACTTCCTTAGAAGTATGGGTATAACCTAGGAGTAAGAGCTAAGCTCTGCAAGTAAAAACCACTTTCTTGGAGTAAAGCTTCTGCTATAGGTTTGGGGACTCTATCTTAGGAGTAAGCAAAAACCAGAAAAATGTCAGCTCTAGTAAAACCACCCCTAAAGGGATAAAGATGATCTACCAGGAAAAAAAAAAAATGAATTCTCTTCAAAGAAGACAAAAGGCTGGGATGTAGCTCAAGTGGTAGAGCACTTGCTTAGCATTTGCAAGGCCCTTCACTCAATCACCAGCACAAAAAGAAAAAAAAAAAAAAAGACAAATACAGCCAGGGCCCTGAAATTTTAATCACATTTAATGCTTGGAATTCAATAAAAATTAGTAGGTAAGGAAAGTAACAGGGCCAAATGAAAATCAAGAGAAAAGTATAAACAATAGAAATAGATGCTCAAGTAAATTAATTAGGTACTTTAAAATAGCTGTGATTAATATATTCAAGAAAATAAAAGCTGGAGATTACAAACAACTGAAATCTATAAAATAGAACCAAATGGAAATTCTAGAACTGAGAAACATAACTGATGTTAAGAATTTAATAAATGGACCAAATAACAGACTAGGCTCTTCCTACCCAATTCTCTTGCCTCCTCCCTCTCCCTGCACAGATATTGTACCTGTATCACAATCTGAAGGCTCTCCTGTTCTCTTTCTGTTCCTTTCCCTTTATTCTTCACAAGTGTTTCCTTCCATAAACATCTAATCCTATTTTGGTGTCTGCTTCTTAGAGGACTTGAACTGACATGAAGATGCGTGAACTGGCCTTTGAGGGGAAAGAATAACACTAAGGACAATATAATTTGTTGCTAAGGTCCACTGACAGTGAAGAAATAAGATGACAGGCTCAGATCCACTAATCAGTAATTTAAAGCAAAGTAATAAAGTCAGATAGCTTCCTTAGGAGGTTTAAATAAGCCCTCATTTCCCACTGTTGAAGGGCAAAGGGAACTGAAAACCAGGCACAGAACTTATAACTATAAGATAGGTAAAATTTCAAAGAAGGTCAAATTATGTAAGTCTAAGAAAACATTCCATGCCCAAATCAGAGCCTTGATGGAGAAGAGGACAGGTGCTGAGTCTGGAAGGAGGATATCTGGATAGATTTACTTGAGATGCTTCAACTCCCAATGTAACCTGTATCCTCTGGGCCATGATAGATTGTTGGTTTAGAAAAAGCAAGACAGCAATATTGAAAGTCTGAGGACAAGAAGAGCTAGGGAATGGGCATGTGAATGGACTTACGGGAGTAGAGACTAAGTGTGATCACCTTTTCATCACATGTCCATCAGAGAATGTTTTCAGTGTCAGAAAAGACACTGAACAACAAAAAGGAAAGGATGATTTGGCCAGTGATAGCAACCAATTTCTGTCTTTGACCACTCAAAGCTTAAAAAATGGGCTCATGAACAGAATAGCTATGTTGGGCTCTCTTTTCTCACCAATGCTCATCTAGCTACTGTTCAAGCAGTAGAAAATGGATTAAGGCACTTGTTCTAGACTTCCCTCACCTTCAGCTAGAACCTCCTCTGATCTAGATGACTTACTGGTAGGATGACCCAGTCCTTCCTCGTTGGGAGGTGTGAGACTCTAGGAACTGTGCCTTTATCAGGCTATGGTTGGTATATGTGCCCATTGACAACTATCACTGTGTATGGCAGTAACAAAATGAGTCTTAATAAATTACCTAAGTGCCAAATGATTTATTTCTGTCCCCATTATTTAGCAGTGTCTGTATCACCTTATAATGTCTGGCCAATATAACTCTTTCCTTTGCTGGCTGGTTTTGCTGGTATGAAGAGCCCAAGTAATCAGATGGTAGTCAGAGCATTAAGTTTTGAAAGCCTTCTAATGGAAGCATACCTACTCTGGGAACAAGAACATCTATACCCACAGAGCTTCAAGTTGTCTGGAAGGGAAGCATAATTCCCTAAGTAAACCAGTAATAACAACATTAATCCAGTCATGAAAGCAAAGTCCTCATAAACGACCTAATCACCTTGCAAAGGTATGTTTCTCAACACTGTTACAACAATGAAAGTTTCAATCTGTCCACTAATCTTCCTACTAGAAATTTTCACCAATAAGAATCTTGTAGAAGGTATACTTGTGTGGAATGAATTTAAAGTGAGAAATAAGCAGATTGCAAAAGTGGAAGGGGTGGACTATAGTGGATATTGTTTTCCACTCATATCTCATCTGCAAACTGTTGTAAGTGTTGGCTGCTAATGGTTCACAGCTGCTCCTTCTCCAGAGTATACACTCAGTCAACTGGGAATCTCCTCACTTAAGAGTGCCCTACCAAAACCAACTGACTGACATGGGGCTATGAAAGGCCAGCCTCCTTGCCTCAAGGTACAATCAACTCCATGGTGCAATTTGCTTGATTTCCTCTTGGGATCAGAATGAATCTGACGCCAACTGAGACTGGTCCTTGCTTGGCATTTGTGTGTGTGTGTGTGTGTGTGTTTGTGTGTGTGTGTGTGTGTGTGTGTGTGGTGTGGGTGTAGATAAACAGCATGCCTTTATTTTATTTATTTATTTTTATGTGGTGCTGAAAATTGAACCCAGTGCCTCATGCATGCTAGGCCAGCACAGCGCTCTGCCTCTGAGCTACAGCCCCATCCCTGTTAGGCGTTTTGTGCTGATCCACTCCCTTACTTCAGGAGGCACTCCCTGAAGAATCACTTGAGAAATTCCCTTCTCAGGCTCTACTTCAAGGAAACCCAATGTAAGAAAAAAATATAAAACAAAGACTGATAGAACTTAAAGTAGAAATAGATAAGCAATAATTATAGCTAAAGATCTTAACAAATTTCTCTCAATACTGATGGAAGAAGCTGACAAAAAAATCAAAAGGGGTATGGAAGATTTGAATATCATGGTTAACACACTTGTTGGAATTTGCATATACAGAATACGATTCCCAACAACTGTAAAACATACATTCTTTTCAACTGCACATAAAAGTAGTTACCAGTGCACACAATATACTGAGCTATAACGCAAGACTAAACAAATTTCCAAGGACTGAAATCATAAAGTATGTCCTCTGGTTACAGTAGAAATGAGCTAGACATCCATAACAGAAAGGTAACTTGAAAATCTCCAAATGTTTGCCTTTAAAAAATAATTACTAGGTAAAACAACAAAGCAAACAAACAAACCATAATGGAAATAAGAAAATAATTTGAAGTGATAACAATGCAGTTGCTACTACCAATTTTAGTGCTGTTAGAATCCATGTTTGATTAACAGTAATTTTCACTTTTAAGTTTTCTAGAAGGAAACAGTTATTAAACAGCATGAAACAGAAAAGTTCAGATTGTCATCTAACTTTCAACTGGTTGAAAGTTCATTTATCTCTACTAGCTATTGTTAGCTGGTAAGTAGAATCCTGATGAAACTAATTTCCTGTGGTGGGAAAAAAAAAGTCAAACCAAGAAAACTTAGAGGCACTCGCATCCACAATGATAACAGCTTTGCCGATTACTACTCCAGGGGTTCAATTTTTTTCTGATAACTACATCACAAACACATAAGGAATAAGCCTGCAGGCAAAATTCCGTAGAGCACCCTTTCTGAATATTTCTTTCCAAAGCTCCTTGGAAGCGCATACTTAGAAATTTCTACCTAAGAAGCCATGATAAATAAATATCTTACAGCCATTCTCTTGGTATGATAATTTTACTCATATTAACTAGCTAACCAAAAGAAAAACCTATTTGGACTTCAACTCCTATTAATAACTCTAAAGTGAGTACACATATTTTAATGTAGCAGTGTTGTGCTTACTGCTACATTAAATGAATCAGCTTATATGACATCTCTGTAGTTAATCAGAGAAATCTAATAATTTTATGTTTTCTTCCCAGTAAAAACAACGACCTTAATAAATACAAAGCTGTAAACCATAAACCAGATGACATTTTTATTTACAGCAGCCCAAGATAATACCATATTACCAGTTGATGTTGAATATTTTCGTGACGTTGCTTAAGAAGTTCTTCTGTCCTCTGCAAAAGGCCAAATTCAGCTTTAAATTCGGCTATTATTTGATGTTTCTTTTTGAAAACTGTACTCTTGCTTCGAAGTTTACTGACATATCGTTTGAACTATAAAAAAACATAATATGTAATTCAATGAGTAGACCCGTAGCTAAGTATTATACATAATCTTAATGTATTATAAATCTGTTCTTCTTTACTCACCAACACATGGGTCACAAACATATAATAATAACTTAGTTTTATTAGGAAACTTGGAATGATTAACTGCTCAATTAAAACACTATAGGGGGTTGGGCTTGTGGCTCAGTGGTAGAGTGCTTGCCTCTCACATTTGAGGTGCTGGGTTCAATTCTCAGCACTACATATAAATAATTTTTTTTTAAAAAAAGGTCCATAGACAACTAAAACATATGTATACATGTTAAAAAGAAAACACTATAGGAAGAACCTGGCCTACCATATTTAAATCACTTCAAAACCAAAGTAAGCGACTATAATACTGTACATGAGATAATTCTTTGGGAATTTTCTTATTCTTTCTTTTTTTGAAAGACAGCACTTTTTCCTCTTTTATTTATTTGGTTGTTTTGTAGTGCTGGGGATTAAACCCAGGGCCTTGTGCGTGCAAGGCAAGCACTCTACCAACTGAGCTATATCCCCCCTCTTCTTATCCTTTTTAATGCCCAATGCTTTTTAAAGCTACTTGGTTGGGGGGGGTTAATAAATAATATTATAAATAATAAAGTGATGAACATATTATTGAAATTTTGGGGAAAAAAGGAAAAAAAACATCACTCAAAGTTGAATTCAAGCTCTGTTACCATGTTGACATTTTTCCTTTTAAGGATAATTATTAGATGAGTAATTCTAAGTTACAAGGTAGTAAAATAGATTAGAGCATTTCTAAATTTTTTTTCTTTTTTAACATTTTCTTTTCTTTTATTATTATTATTATTATTATTATATTTTTGTACATGTAGATGAACAGTATGTCTTTATTTTATGTGGTGCTAAGGATGGAACCCAGTGCCTCATATGTGCCAGGCAAGCACTCTGCCACTCAGCTACAGCCCCAGCTCTAAAATTTATTTTTCTTAAAGACTAGAATGTTTCCTGAGTATTCAAAGAAATGCCTTAGAAATAGTAAGATTATGGATGGGGTTGTAGTTCAATTGTAGAGCACTTGCCTCACACATGTGAGGCCTTGGGTTTAATCCTTAGCACCACATAAAATAAATAAATAAAGATATTGTGTCCATAAAAAATATTAAGATTAAAAATTCTTCACATAAAAATAATCCCCCAGTATCTAGTTCAGATAATTTTTTTTTTATATTTGACTTTAACTTTGAAAGAATTGTGTTTTAGAGGAAGTTAAAACACTGAGTAAGTCAGTTTTAATACTAAGGAAACCAGCCCACACACAGTAAATTTTCAATGGCTGAATTACAGAAACTGCTCTAAAATTTTAAGTTTACCCGTGTACTAAGAGTCTAATAACTTGCAAATTTTCCTTTTAAAGAATGTGTAATCCCGATATAACCACAGCCTCAGAATCCCTAGAGTAACTATATGTTCTATTAAAAGTGTCCTGGGCAAAGTGCCCAAAATGAAATCAACCCTGTGCATCTGCTAGTCTCTGGAACATCTAGGCCAATCTCCCCTTCTCTGTCTTGCTGTGGTCCAAAACTATTTTTAAAAGCTAAAAGCTAGAAATGTTTTTGGTGAAAGAACAAACCCACAAATTACTCAATATGTTGTATATGACTGGTTATTATTTGATATTCATTATACATACTAACTAAGGAAAGGGTAATCAGGTTCAGATTAATCATAGTTCCACACAATTAAGCAATAGGTGGCCATCAAAATAGCTAAGGGCTCTACTGTCCCAGAACTAATTAGAAGAAAGGAAACACATTGGTAGTGCTTTTCTTCCACTGGAGAAAATGTTTTGCTTGTCTTCGGCCCACATTTTATTGGGGTTTTTGTCTTTTTCTTACCCATCTGAAAGAGTGATTCTCAAACTTTCTAATCTCATGAACCTTTTATATATTCTTAAAATTATTTAGGATCTCAAAGAAATTTTGTTTATGTAAATTTTTATCACTATCACATTAACAATGAAAATTGAGAAAATTTTAAAATATAAGAAAACACAGGTACACATTCCATTGGCTGCCAGAGTGATAGCATAATCACACTTGAGCCTCTGGTAATGTCTACTACACACTACTGCACACTCATACAAGAATAGAATAAAAACTGCCTTTCCTTCCCCTACTGGTTCATAGGAGTAACAGTAGTGGGTTGGAAAGGTGGCAATGAGGAGGACCAGGAGCTATACACAGGCATGGGCCAGCAGGCCCAGAGATCAAGAATGTAAGGACATGAGAGGCTTTGGGAATTATGGAGGGAATGGACCACTGAGTGGTAACCAAGGGCACAGTAGAGCAAGGGGTGGGTTATGGAAGTACAAATCAGTATGCTGAACAGATATCAATGTGGAATGATGGGGCTGGAGGCCGAGAAACATGGAGACACAGGCTAGCAGACACGATAGCTGAGGACAGAGGGTAGTGGGGAGCCACAGGAAACATTGGCACTGAGGAAGATGAGGGTTAGTGGGATGGGGATAGAAACATGGTGTGAGGCCAGAATAATTGGTAGGTTGGCTAAACTGAGCAAAAAAGTTCGGTGCAAATAAGTAAATACAGTGGGGACAAAGGAAGCCACATTTATCAATGATAGAAATGATATTTTAAAACTAGCAAAGGGGGAAGCTAGAAAGAATGCTGAGGTATAGGGTTACTGGTTAGAATCCACAGTTTGTTTATACACACACACACACACACACACATACAGATAGTTATAGAAATATCCATATGTGAATATAAATATATATAATATATACATATGTCCATTTGTTTTTGTACTGAAAGAACTAGCCAAAGTAGTGAGAGAAGAAAAATAAATAAAAAGTATAAGGTTTGGACAGAAATAAATAAATTCTCATTAACACATATGCTATTGTTCTCTTAGGGGAGAAATTAAAAATGATTTAAATGACTATAGTTAATAAGACAATTTAGTTAGTTTGCTGGATATGAAGTCAATGGCAAAAGTTCACTTCATTTCTATATGTAAACCAATAGTTTGTGATTGCTGAAAATAATTCTAGTTTACTTCAGAATCAAAGTTGCTAGGCAAGGTAGCCAAACCTGTAACCCCAGCAACTAGAGAGGCCGAGCAGGAAGACTGCAAGTTTGAGACCAGCCTCAGTAATTTAGCAAGACCCCATCTCAAAAGGGCTGAGGACATAGCTCAGTGGGAGAGCATCCCTGGGTTCAATCTCTATTACCAAGAGATTGTTGGTAAAAATAAAACAAAACAGGTTAAGTGCCTGGTCAGCTATCATAAATTACATATTCCTTTATGTCTCTTTGATTTGCTTTTCAAAAGTTGAACATTTGAGAGTGTGAAAATAAGATGTTCTGCCTATACATTTCTATGCCTAATCTGTAGGTTGGTTGGTTGCTTGCTTTTTTGAGTACCAGAGCTTTAAACCAGGGGTGCTTTACCACTGAGCTATATTCCTAGTCCTAGCCCACCACCCACACCCCCACTCATCTTTTTTGGAGTCCTACTAAGGTGCCAAGGCTGGCCTCAAACTTATGATCCTTCTGTGACAGCCTCTCAAGTCGCTGGGATTATAGGCATGTACCACTGCATCCAGTCCAAACCTGAAAATGAATTTATCAAATGTTGTATTTGTTCCAGCAGCTTACTATAGAATGTTATTTGGTAATTCGGTATCATACTTATTACAATTTTTACTTTAGGAGTATAATAGGTAAAATTCATCTAAATTTTATTTGAGTAGGCCCCATGTTTAATCTTCACCATTCTTTAAACTGCTGTGAATATTTTGTTACAATTTGAAAGCAGTAAGACAAAACCTTTAAAGAGCATAGGATTTTGCTTAATTTTTATAATCATGAACTCTTAAGCTGTCAGCTACAACCAAGAACCAATGAATTGTGCATTCTACTTCTTCTAATTTATCTCTTCTCATAAATTATGAGAAGAAAAAATAATTAATTGGGAAAATATTGTATTTGGATGGTTTCTATAAACAAATGATTATAATTCTTATACATTATTTTTTACATTTTCTGTTTCTTTAAGCAGTCTAATATGCCACAAAATCATTGTATAGTATTTGTTCTTTAGAAGAAATATTTTAAAAGTGTTATTATTAGCTGGACATGGTGCACACACTAGCAATTCCAGTGACTGGGGAGGCTGAGGCTGGAGGATCATGAGTTCAAAACAAGCCTCAGCAACTTAGCAAGGCCCTAAGCAACTTAGTGAGACCCTGTCTCTAAATTTAAAAAAACGTAGGGGGGAACTGGGGATGTGGCTCAGTGGTCAATTCCCCTGGGTTCAATCCCCATACCAAAAAAAAAAAAAAGTGTTCTCTTCAGAGTGGTTGTAAATATATTTCAAAATATAATTGATTTTTAAAATCCAGAGTACTGACCTAAGAAGTAAGTCTATGAACTCTACTACTGATGGAAAGGGAGATATTAGTGGAAGCTGTTTGACTTTTATATTTTTGTGCTGTCAAATATAAGTAAAAACATCAATTATGTAATTCTGCTGTTTAAACAGAAACTATTTACCTCCATGGCCCTAAATGAAAAGTCTGAATTTTTTTTTTCTTTTTTGTGTTTTGATGCTGGGGATGGAACCCAGGGCTTGTGCATGCAAGGCAAGCACTCTACCACCTGAGCTATATCCCCAGCTGAAAAGTCTGAAATTTTAAGGTGATTATTTTATTGCAAATTAATCCATCTTAATTTTTAAAAAATTGGTTGACTATTCTTGTTGTTAAATAATGTCTGAAAAATAAATACTAAGGGACTGGGGACATAGTTCAGTGATAAAGAATTTGCCCAGCATCCATGAGATCCTGGATCAATTCCCAGTACTAAATAAATAAAAATTTAAAACATTTGGAAAAGAAAAATAAAAACTAGGGCTGGGAATGTAGCTCAGTGGTAGAACACTTGTCTAGTACATCTCTGGGTTGGATTCCTAGG